GAAATACTACTTATTTTTAACACACCTTATACACCTTACTATCATGGTCATGTGGTACCATATAAAATCAATACATACACTATTATTTTATTAAAACATACATGTAAAAATACATATATTTTCTCAACTTCTAATTTTTCTAATCTCATATATAGAGTATAAATTTGCGTACGCTTAATTCTTAAAATGGTAAAAGATAACCTTCTTTTCTTGTGAGAAAATAACTTCTATCTTTACAATAAAGAAAATCTCATAAACTTTCTCATATTCTGTGTATAGTTTAAAGCATATTCGAAAGTAGTAGTATTAATAACTATATAAAATCATATTTTTCAAACCTTCTTTTATAAAAAATGTTCCACTCAAAATACCATATCAAATGTATATAACGGTATCAAGGTTGTTAAACTTACGGGGTCTTACAATAACATAGTCACAAATCCTCTATAATCTCATGAATGGTCTTAATCCCTTCAAGCTTATATGGTTTACTGTGACTCATCCTAATATCAAAGTACGGGATGTAATATCCTCCACCCCTTAAGAAACATTCGTCCTCGAATGTTAACTCTTAGAGATTTACAAAACTTTTGCTAGGGTCTCCTCTGTGTAATAAACTAAAATCCAACCTCTATCTGAAGTCTCAACTATTCACAATCTTTTGTACTTGAGTATCTCGTATTTTCTTCACCTTTACCTTACTCACTTTTCAATCTCGCATCGTATCTTCTGTTTCTTTCATAACCTCCCTTACACATAGATGGAAATTACACCTTAAAGCTCTACTGTGATACATGCACCTCTGGTGCATACAAAATCTGGCGAAAGCTTCATACTGACTTCTTACGACTCAGCTCTATGGAACGATCTGGAAACAAAAGAATGGTAAAATTTCCTAAATGCCCTATAGCCTCTCAATTATAAATGTGGCTCGCAATACACCCATAAGTGAGACTCTACTAGGCATGGCTTTATAGACTCCCTAGGACACGACTTGCTCTGATACCACTTTGTCATGCCCCAAGTCTGGGGAGGCGTGGCTGGCACCTGGTGTCGTGCTGGCCTGAGCGAATCATTCTGTAACTCATGATCGTTCGACCAAAACTAGAACATACATAGGTTGAGTTAGCTGAACTCATACCTTTTGTAACTATCTTGGGCCCATATGACCACAACTCGTAATATACAACTGTAAATAGGAAAATATTGTATCGATGAACCATCTTTCTTAAAACATGAATACATATAGGTCGTCAAGGCCTCTGATATACTGTACAAAATGAACCTCTGTCTACAAAGCCTCTAAGATTATTTGACATCAAATGGGACAGGGTACTAACCTACCCATAAATCTGTAACAAAACTCTGACACGATGACTTATAAACTCGGCTGCACTCCGAATGAAGTAGAGTCTTACCGATCCTTCGCTGAATGCTAACCTCGTCTACTATGAGGGCTTGTCCAACTGATTATCTATACATGCATGCATAAATGCAGCGTCCCCAACAAAAGGATGTCAGTACGAATAATGTACTAAGTATGTAAGGCAGAACTGAAACATATCCATAAGTCAACATTAATTAAAGAGATATAAGAATCAACATGAATCTCTGAAGTGCCACTGTATATGCATACGCAACATACTTATATATATAATGCTTATATTTGAGACTATTATCCATATCGTATGATGCATGACTGCCAAACTGATCAATGGTAACTGCCCGACCGGCCTTAGCACGGTGATAAATGCATAATTGCCCAATCGGTGGTAAATAATGATACATAACTGCCCAACCAGTGGTAATTGCCCGACCGGTCGTATCCCGATGGTAAATGCATGACTGCCCGACCGACCGTAGCCTGATGGTAAATGTGTAACTGCCCAACCAGTCGTAGCACGGTGGTAAATGAATATGCATGTCTGCCCAACCGGTCGTAGCACGATGGTAAATGAATATGCATGACTGCCCAACCGGCCGTAGCACGGTGGTAAATGAATGAAGATGCATGTATCACTATATTATAAACATTAATATCTTTATAAAATACATCAATAGGGAACTATATACATACTTGGACATGCTTGAATATCCTTTTACAGGAATGAATAACGTAGACCTTCTTAGTTACTAAGAGTAGAACTATTTATGAAATAACATTACGTTTACGTACGTTACTTGGATCATGCCAAAAGAAAGAAGGATTAGCCTTAACATACCTTAATTACTCATAAGAGCTCGAGAAGGTCGTAGATGAAGAATTAGACTTGGATCACATTCAAAAGAATTACCCTCAAGGTGTTGGCATGAATTCTCAACATGAAGGAATTAGCTATTAATTAAGAGATGCTAAACGTTTTTGATTCATTCTTTATACACAGAGAAATGGAATGAACACCTATTGAAATAAAATAAAAAGAAGTCTAGAATAGATTTCATCTAACCACAATCACTTGATGAAATCTTCACGTCTAAGAAGTTTAAATGCTATATGTGTAGCTTTTGCCACCTAATAAGGTAAGTAAAGAGTCACTAATTTGCTGCCAAAATTTCATACTCCCACGTGGAGGTTGTCCCCTAGTACTTATCCAAAATTCTCACTTAATCCCTATAATTAATTAATTATTCACATAATTAAAAATTATCCCAAATTATTTAAAATACTACTTATTTTTTACACAACTTATACACCTTACTATCATGGTCATGCGGTACCATATAAAATCAATACATACACTATTATTTTATTAAAACATACATGTAAAAATACATATATTTTTTCAACTTCTAATTTTCCTAATCTCATATAAAGAGTACAAATTTTCGTACGCTTAATTCTTAAAATGGTAAAAAATAACCTTATTTTCTTGTGAGAAAATAATTTCTATCTTTACAATAAAGAAAATCTCATAAACTTTCTCATATTCTATGTTTTGAAAGTAGTAATATTAATAACTATATAAAATCATATTTTTCAAACCTTCTTTTACAAAAATATTCCACTCAAAATACCATATCAAATGTATATAACGGTATCAAGGTTGTTAAACTTACGGGGTCTTACAATAACATAGTCACAAATCCTCTATAATCTCATGAATGCTCATATGGATTACTACAACTCATCCTAATATTAAAGTACGAGATGTAACATTGTTGTGTCCAAGTTAGGGGTCTTCCACCACCCCCTAACTTGTGGGGGCATAATGAAGCTAAATTAGGATAGAATATTTACCAAATAAGTATATTTTATTCTTGATTTCTTTACTGTATTTTTCTGATTCTTACAACTTTAATTTTTGATATGATTCATTTATTTTTACTGATACACAATTCACTTGTATTTAAAGTGCACTTTATCAATGATACACATCAAGCCTTTTTCCCTTTACTCTGCTCCTTTACCAACTAAGACCGTAAGGTTAAATTTAATTTTAAAAGTCCGAAATTTGAGCTTCAGAGCCGATGGTACATGCTTAGCCGGCTTCCTATTGCTTGGTCAGTAGATCAACAACTTTGTCGTTTGAATATTAATCGTTATGTCCCTTTTACAGATTCCTTCCTTCAGCTAAAATCAACATTGCTTTGGTTCCTTCTTGGCATATAGACAACATGTATCTTGATATGATCAACCAAATACATTTCGGTAAATGGCTCCACATATAAACAAGTACCGATCATATAAATGTCCTACATATAAACAAGATTTTTGACTTTGCTCCAGGCAACTAGAATCGAATCATTAGAAGACTTGTGCTTAGGCAACACAGATACTTGAGGATTTTTCATTTAAAAAGATTGTAATTTATAGAGAAAATAATAAAAATGATCTTTATCTTTGGGAGACGGGAGTAGGTATAAATTAATCTCTAAAATATAAAAAAATTAACCAAAAAAAAATGCTAGGAAAGTCTTGTCAAATTAAGCTAGCTTTTGGACATAGATTTGGTTGAAAGTTGAAAACATGAGTTTTTGAAGATGAGATGAAAGATAAATTTTGAAAGTTGAAATTATGTTTGGACATGCATTTTACTTAAAAAGAATTTGAAGTTTTGTGAGTAGAAAACTTCAAAAACTACTCTAGAGTTGTTTTTGGGATTTGAAAATTTTCTTTTCAAAATATGCCCAAAAAATGGTAAAAATCTTTAAACAAACATATGTTTGAAAATAAATTTGAAAAAAAGCTCCCAAATTTTATGGCCAAACGGTAGCTAAGAATTAGAGTACCAAAAACTGTACCTGACACCAGAAATTGACCCAAAAAGGTAGTTATTGGACAAAGAAAACACACCAAACACCAGAATTAGTCAAAAAAAATATATAGTAAACAACACTAAAAATAGACCAAAATGTCACGTCCTTAGTCTTTGACTAATTACACGTGCGCCACTTGACAATTCGCTCGCGGTTTTGCACAACTTGCTCACGTTCTTGCTATGCCAAGGTCAGCCTTACTACACTAAAGATTGCTAAGGTAATGTTAGAACACATGAGAATTGCCAAATAAAACTTTTGTATCAGAGAGAACTCGATTGTTTTTCTTGGTGAATTACAAATAGATGACTCTCTTTATATACTAGTCTCCTTGGGGTTAGAGTATAAATATTAATTATTACACAAGTCCTTAATATTTACAAGATAAATACTTTCTCTATAATTCTCTACGAGCCTAGAAAATTCCAAAGACTTTCCTACCAAATCCATAGACATCTAGGGGTTTTCAAAGGAAATGTCCATACTTATCTAGAATCTTCTCACAAATACTAGCTTTCCTCCTGTGCAAGCTTCCATATGGTTTTAATGTATGCCAAATGGTGCCTATGTGGCATGGTGACGTGGCGGGTAGGTGACGTGGCGGGTCATCACAAAAAGCAGCAAAAATTGAGAAACAATTGTACCTCCAAATCTGAGTTTCAATAATTATATTTTTCACAGTTCTTGTTGAATATAACAACTGGAGTTTATTAAATATTTGGCAGAGATTAAAATTGTTATTTTTAGCAAATTTGGAAAATTAAAACTGCTTCGAGGTGGTTGGACAACTTCAAACCTACCTGTTCATTTTTGTCATTTTTCTCAATTTATCTGTTGGACACATTCAAGGACAGTAAAGAGAATGCTGTTGAATCTTTTCGAATGAAGTAGAATATGGAGTCAATTGGTTTTGTGGCGGCTATTACTAAACCAGAAAGTATTAACATTGCAACATAGCAACCGAAGTATCGAAGGACAGTGAAAACATGGTTGTTCTCTTTTGTTTTGTGGTATACAGTACGCATCTTTGGGTGAAAAATGTCTTTGACTGCGTATTAGCTTAGGTTCTGACATGATTAGTCTGTTGGAATGCCAAACCCAAAGAAACCAGAACATATGCTCCAACTTCTGCAGCATTTCATCAAACACTCAAACCAAATCAAGCAAATACATTCCCTTCTCACAACCAGTGGCCGTCTCCTCCTTACCTCTCAATGGATCAACACACTTCTTTATAACACTCTCATCAGAGCTTACCTCAACATTTCCCAGCCTCAAACAACTCTCATCCTTTTCACACACATGCTTTTTCATCAAGCTCAACCAAATAGCCATACTTTCCCTTCCCTTATCAAAGCAGCATCATCTTTCCCGCCCCATTTGGCTTCCCATATAGGCAAACCCCTTCACTGTCAAGTCTTGAGAAGAGGGGTGTTGAGTGACCCCTACGTGTGTACATCTTTTATTGGGTTGTATTCTCACGCGTGTGAACTCGGGAGTGCGCACAAGATGTTTGATGAAATTCCTGAACCATGCGTTGTTTCCTATAATGCGATGCTTGATGCCTGTGGGAAAAATGGGGATATGGGTTTGGGTTTTTTGATGTTTTCTCGCATGCCTTACAGAGATGTTTATTCATGGACTAGTATGATTCATGGGTACATGAAGAATGGGTGCTCTGAAGTTGCTGTTAAGTTTTTCCAGCGAATGATGATTCATGAGGATGTGAAGTGTGGTTTAATGAAGCCAAATGAGGCTACTTTTGTTAGTGTTCTTTCTTCTTTCACGTTTTTGGATGTTAGTGTGGCGTTATATTTAGGGAGGCAAGTACATGCTTACATGGTAAAGAATGAGGAGTTGAGTGTCTTCATGACGACCGCGTTGATTGCGTTTTATGGGAAGATGGGTTGTATGGTATATGCTTCAAAGGTATTCGATGCAATGGTTATCAAGCAGGTTTGTGCTTGGAATGCTATGATTTCTTCCCTAGCTTTGAATGGTAGAGAGAAGCAGGCATTAATGATGTATGAGAAGATGAGAGCAAGGGGGCTGCAACCAAATGATATTACATTCGTGGCAGTTCTATCAGCTTGTGCGCGTGCCAAGCTTGTTGATTTGGGGTTTAAATTGTTTGAAAAAATGTCGCATGAATTTGGACTTGTACCTAAGATGGAACATTATGGTTGTGTTGTTGATCTCTTAGGGAGAGCTGGGCTACTGCAAGAAGCATATGACTTTATAAAAAAGATGCCTTTTAAAGCTGATGCCACTGTCTTGGGTGCGCTGATGGGTGCTTGTAGACTTTATGGAGGCATTGAGCTGGGAAATGAAGTAGCACAACTATTGCTTAAGTCGCAACCGAGTCATTCTGGGCGATACGTGCAACTCTCAAGCATTTATGCTGGGGCAGAGAGGTGGGATCATGCTGCTGCCTTGAGAAAAGCAATGTTAGATGCTGGAATACACAAGGTTCCAGCCCACAGTTTTATTTAGTATAGCTGATAACTGCAGCAGTTTATATTTGCAAAATTTTGTCGATGAGCCTGCTTGGTGATGATATTTATGCTCATCAAAATCAGCTAAAAGATCCAGCATATGAGTTTTGCACAGAGATTGAAGCACTGCATAAAGAAAGCTGAAGTCACAGCAGATAAAAGTTCAGCAATTTTTGAGGTGTCTTTGAGCTCAAGCTAAGTTAGATTGACAGATCAAGGAAATGATGGATTTTTTGACGAGGTACCACTTTTTGTTTGACGAGGTGCACGGCAAACATGGTTCCCAAATCTGTTTGACGAGGTATCACTTTTTGTTTTCTACTTTTGTTTTTCTGAATCTTTCTCTCCCCGATCAAACTTTGAAGTTGTGGAGCGGATTGCTAATTAATTAATCTGAACAAAAGTTAATTAATCACGACGAACAGCACTTAAAGGCTAGTGGTTCTGCTTGTTTTCTTCCTGAGTGAAGCATCAAATCCGTATGGATTCCAATCACTTGCAATTCTATCACTCAATTGTGTGTTTATGGCTATCTCAGTTTAGGCTTTGAACATTACTCTCGATTCCAGTTTTTTGCAGGTATCATTATGCAAGTTGTTGCTTCAAGTTACTGTACGGGACTGAGGCGTAATTGTTGTTGTATAATAATGATATCTATGTCAGCTTATGTGCTGCTCGATTAATTAAACCAGTACCTTATACTTTTCACCAACACAAATATCAGGTAACTCTACCATCCGAGACTTGGGTAAAATGGAACAATTCATCTAGTGTCATCTCTGCTAGGATTCTAACCTGGTTTCCAAGGTTGTTTCTCCAGCTTTTCAATGCTAGACCAACCCCTCTGTGGTCGTCGCTTCAAGTTATTATATGTTGACTAATATTGATATACCTTTCTCATTTCCAAGTACGCGAGATATTGGAACTGTTTTAGGAATTTTAATGTGCTTCTACTGCGATCCCAATTTCCTAAAATTGTAGCTTGCGTATTGTACCTGATCCCTAAACATTTTATTAGCAACCAGTAGAGTTTCACCAATTCAATGGCATTATTCTAAAGTTCCTCTTTAGGTACTTAAATGACACAAAACGCTATGAGCAATGCAGATTTAAGCGTACAAATTTCGCTAATATATCTCATTATTAACATTGTACGATCATGAAATTCTGCAAATGTTTTGGATAAAATTTCTGCCATAGTGCTGTCTGAACTTATCACAGTGTTGCATATCTCTCGTGCTCTTTTTATTCATGTCAAGCAATTTAGCATGAAATATACTAGTATGTTAGTAAAAAAGAAGCCAACCAGGAAATTTATGGATCCCAGTGAAGAAGTTTTGGAACTCCCAGGAAATTGATAAGCTTTACATGGCTAGTCAAGACAACTTACAAAAGAGGGGCTTTATGTGTGGAGGAGAATCTGATCGTAGCCTCTTTTTGCATATGTTCTTCAATGTTTTGATCCTGAAACGGGTCATGCCCAATGCACCTGCTGATCTGTTATTATGCTGGCACAAAAGGGTTATATTCTAAGAAACTGAAGAAGGCTTGGACAACACTTTCTTAATGCTAGTTTTGACATCAAAAATTTAGAGTTAATACCCTAAAACCCTCTTAAACTATCACGTTTTTGTCAGTTTTCTACTTAAACTATTCGGTATCCCCAAAATCTCCCTGAACTATATTGACGTTCATATTGAAACTCCATTGTTACTTACTTGGCATAACGTGTGTATTAACTCGCTTGAGAGAGCATGACGACCGAAAAAGCCATAAAAATGGTATGATAAAATGTAATGGCTAATTAGCCCGAACCCTCTTTCACATTTATTTCTTATAAATATTCTTCTTATTTCCTTTATATCCACTTTTCTTCCTCATTTTTTCACCATTCTTTCTTCTTTGTTTTTAATCTTCTTCTTCATTTTTTCACCTTTTTTCTTCAGTTCTCCATATGGATTCCTACTGGAAAACAAATTTCCTTCTCTTGTTCCTCTGAAATGATTTATTCTCTTTCTTGTTTTAGTCTTCTTCCATGTCTTACACATATTGTTGAAAGAACACCCGTCAAAATCTTCTTATTAAACCCAATACCTTGTAGGGACTAAAGGCGAGTCTCTTGGACCATGTTTGTGTAATCTAGAATTAGAGAATGTAGTTGCTGGCCGATTGGTTTCTTATTTGCAAAATTTTATTTTGTGTAATCTAGAATAAGATGATTTATCAAAAATGCAACACTATATGCCTTCATTTATTTTTTTATTGTGCGATAAAGTGAATGCAAATAAGGACTTATTCAATTGGAGTTTAGTATAAAGTACAACAACAATTAAACTTAAAATTAATACATTATATTAGATATTATTTGGGCTAAAACTTCTAGAATTCATCAGTAATTCGAGAATAATACATCATGAGTAAACTGCATAAAAAACTTAGTACAAACCATAAGTTAATATAGTTAGACAGACGCACCTCTAAGAATTCAACATGGGGTTTCAATATATAGGGAAATATAATTCAAGGGGTTTTTAGGGACACCAAATAGTTTAAGCAGGTAAATAGTTTAGAGGGTTTTTAGGTTGAGTTAAATAGCCACATGTAGTGCCACATGGTACATTTTTTTAGATAATTAGGAGTGTGTACTAGACGTACCTCTAAGAATGCGACGATGGAGTTTTAATATGATGGGCAATATAGTTCAGGGGAATTTTGGGGACAACGAATTGTTTAAGTAGGAAACTGAAAAAACATGATAGTTTAGGAAGGTTTCAAGATATTAACTCAATATTTTTGTTACGACCCAAAATCCACTAGTCGTGATGGCACCCAACCCAACCCGTTAGGTCAGCCAATTAAATTAACACAATTCTAATAAAATAAAGGTGATCAACAAATGATATATCTGGATTCCATACAATATCCCAAGAACTGGTAGTACAAGTCATGAGCTACTAAGATTGAATTATTGCAAAAACAGATATGAAATGAATACAATTTCTGTTTGAAATGTACATAAACAGAATTCAACTCTAAAACTACCCAGGGACAAGTGGTAGCCACACCCGGAAGGCACGAACATCTTCAGAGTCAGCTCCCGTAATTCACCGCTGCTCCGCTCCAGGATCTGCACGCAAGGTGCAGAAGTGTAGTATGAGTACAACCGACCCCATGTACTCAATAAGTATCTTGACTAACATCAGTGAAATAGTGACATGGCTTTTTAGTTAAAAGATACTCACTGATATAACCTATGCAATAGACTAGCAGTAGAATAATACTACAACATAACAAAAAAGAGTACAAGAAACGAATATGCGAAGCATTAAATGATTACTAGAAGAAATAATGATTTAATATTCCTCAATATTACGACCAATCCTTTCCTTATAACGATACCCAACAAACCATAATAGTAAATCTATAACTTTTCTAGTGTGAGAAATGTACTCAAGATATCAAATCGAACAACACAGCAACACCCTTCGTGCATTTATCGCATCCTCACCAAATATACGTATAACAATACCAACCAGGTGAAAGAATGTCAATAACAGTAATGACAAAGCGGGAAATACACAAGTAGCAATAACGAACGAGGCAGTACTTATGGACAAAGGTAACAGACTAGGTAAAAGGCATAGAAGTAATGACAACAAATAGGAAAGAAGAACATAAATTTTACTAACTAACATGGTAGAAGTCCTAGATGTAGATATAACAAACAAGAGGGATAACATGATCTTCATGAGCTAACAAATATAGGCATGAATAACTAACATGGTAGAAGGCTTAGACGAAAGTGCAGCAAATGAGAAACGACATAGATGTAGATATAATAGCAAGAAGGAAAACATGATATTTGCAAGTTAAACATATAGAAGGCTTGAACAACACAACAACAATTAAGATAGAGGACACAGACAGAACAACAACGACAAATCACATTGAAAACATTGGTGCAACAGTAACAACTTAAGGTAAAGACATGAATATATACACAAGGAAAAGATATCACAATATAATGCATGTTCCTCGTCCTCCCCTACACGAAAACACCCTTCGTGCCATGAACACATGATAATATAAAAATATGATAATGTAAATGAAATCACATGTCATCACCCTTCGTGTTTTTACTCTCATCCTCACATGATAATTTAAATGAAAATATGATAATATAAATGAAATAGCACGGCATCACCCTTCGTGCTTTTACTCTCATCCTCACATGATAATTTAAATGAAAATATGATAATATAAATGAAATAGCACGGCATCACCCTTCGTGCTTTTACTCTCATCCTCGCATGATAATGTAAATGAAATGGCACGACATTACCCTTCGTGCTTTTACTCTCATCCTCACATGATAATGTAAATAAAATAGCACGCCATCACCTTTCGTGTTTTTACTCTCATCCTCACATGATAATGTAAATGAAATGGCACGACATCACCTTTTATGCGTTACACTCTTCCTCACATGATAATGTATATGCAATGGCACGACATCACCCTTCGTGCTTTACACTCTTCTCCACCAAGCATATGTATATCAATGACAAGAAAGGTAGGAAGCATGAATAACATCAAGGGGAGTGATTAAACGAATATTCCAAATGAATATCATTCACAACTTTCAAGCCAATAACAATTCAATAAACTTCAAGAACCTTATTGTGCAAGTATTTCAACAAGTCTCAAAAATTATCTTCAACTCAAGTATAGAACCCAATATCACAAGAATAACTGTCATAGCAATGTATTAGCGATTAAGCATAATGATAGTGATGACAAAATTTAACACATCAATAGTTTCACAAAATCCATCAAATTTTAATCAAGTTATAATAAGCTAAATCTTGGTTTCTAGCATTTAATTTCATATTCTTAGTAATCTAAGAGTCAAGTAAGACATGAAACAAGAAGGCCACGTAATTTTACAAGGCACAATTAATCGTATAATTTACCTCCGAGCATGATTAACCCTGACACATGCATATACGCTCTCACCTTATATATGCATTACTCCCGCATGTAGCAAACAATGAAAATTAGTAAAAAAAAATTCTCCAACAAAGTTAGGCAAGACACTTACCTCAAACAAGCCAAATCGATACACTAGAAGTGCCATCCCACTCAAACCATCCTCCAAACGGCTCGAAACTAGCCAAAAGCAACTCAAATCATCAAATAATGCCATAGGAAGCAAACCCAATCGATAAAGGTCTAATCTTTACACATTTACTCAAAGTCAACCAAAACGTCAAACTCGGGTCCACACCTCGGAACCCGACAAAACTCACAAAATTCGATAACCCATTCATGTACGAGTCCAACCATACTAATTTTACTCAATTGCGACTCCGAATCGATGTTCAAAACTCAAAATTCACTTTAGGAAAGTTTAGATAAAAACCCTCAATTTCTCTTTTAAAAACATCAATCAAATGCCAAAAACGAAAATAGAATCACAGAATGTAATCAAAATCGAGTAAAAAAATACTTAACCCAATCCATGTGGCGATAATCGCCTCCAAAATAGCCCAAATCCGAGCTCTCCAACTCAAAATGTGATAAAATAACTCAAAGGTCCGTAACAGAATACTTATATGCACTGTCCAGGTATATTCTTTGCGATCGCAGGACCAGCTTTGCGATCGCAAAGCACAAAATGCACAGCCTCGAAGAATCTCTACGCGAACGTGGCCCCAGGCTCGCGATCGCGATGAACATCTGCACAGACTAACGCGAACACGGACTCAACAACGCGAACGCGATGAAGAAGTCATAAAGACCTGCCCAGCCTAGCTCTACACTACGCGAACACATAACCACTTGCGCGAACGCGATGCTCAAGCTCCAGCAACCTACGCGGATGTGGTCAACTATTCGCGAATGCGAAGAAGAAGATACCCAGCTCCAGAATTAATCTACGCGATCGCGTTCCCTGCTTCACGATCTCGATGCTCTGCAAATACACCAGCAATGCAAAAACCATTCGAAATGATCTGAACCACGTTTGAAACTCACCCGAGCTCCTCGGGACCCCGTTCGAGCATACCGACAAGTCCTAAAATATAACACGGACCTATTCGAGGCCTCAAATTACACATAACAACATCAAAACCATGAATCGCATCTCAAATTGAACTAAATCCTTTC